TTTTTAAAAAAAAAATTTTTTTTGTATACTAACCTTCTGTTGTATTAAATGATTGATACATGCATTGTGTATGCTGTATGTATGTATATACACTGCATATATATATATACACACACGAAATATTGCTCTTTTTTTTTTAAGGTACAAGAGTTGTTTATTCGTGATTATGGAGAGATTTTTAATGTCCAGTTACCTGGTAAAGAAGAACGGACAAAATTTTTTGAGGATTTAATTCTAAAACAAGCTGCTAAGCCTCCTATATCAAAAAAAAAAGCAGGTTAGTTTCTATATCAATATTAATATATAATAATTTTGAGAAAGTTGGTGTAAAATATCTGTTAATGGCATTGACATCTATCTGATAATGCAAATTCAAAATTTTAGTCAGGAGGTCGATGCATCTACTGCTTAAAAATCTCTGTGCTTCTCATTAAAATGGACTAAAGTTCTTATGGCCTTTCATTGTATAGCCCAATCTGTCTTTCCTAGCTCATTTTTGGCATTTGTGTCGCCTCCCCCAACCCCTGCCCCCAATCTCTTTTCTTAAAACACTCTCTCTTTAAACCATCTACAACTCATTTTACCTTTTCACAGTTTTATTAATGCCTGATCTCTGTCAGTAATGCTTTTATCTGTCTCCCATCTCTACCTAAAGAACTACTGTCCTTCTAGTATAAATCATTTTATTTTTTTCTTCATTATGAAGTCATTCCTAGCTTATGTAGGCAGAATTAATTGTTTCTATCTTTATGACCTATTGTGCTTTTTTTATATTACTAATATGACATTACAGTGATATAATTATGTGTCTTACTCCCTTAGTAGATTGCCAGCTTATTGGCATACTCCTTTTTTTATCCTGAGTACTCATTGTATATCTGTTTAAACAAAATTAAATTTTTGTTGTATTTGAAACACATCACAATTTTTTATTAGTTCAAAAATTGACTAGTAAAGACTTTTTTATAGTTAGAATATTCTTGTCCTGGAAAATGATGCATTTTCAAAGTTTTAGTAGCCTCTTAAATTATCTGAAGATGGAACAGAAGTCATGACTTTTAGGAATTAACATTCTAAATTACAAGTTACCAATCATTTCTAGAGAGGATATAAGAGTAGAGATTATGACAGAACTTTTGTATTCCAAATTCTTGGATTCCTGGCAAATGTAGGAAAGATAACCCCTCAAAGCCAGGCACTATTTGCACTGAATCTTCTGTTACCCTCAATATTATGAAGGAATAGTAAGTAAAATCTTCCATTCATGTGAAGTTTTACAGGCCATAGAGGTACTCCCAGTAGCACCACCACCTGAGCCAAGACCGTTGACAGAAGAAGAAGTGAAACGACTAGAAGAACAAGAAGAAAATACATTTAGAGAACTGAGGATTTTCTTAAGAAATGTTACACATAGGCTTGCTATCGACAAGCGATTCCGAGTGTTTACTAAGCCTGTTGACCCTGATGAGGTATTAATTTAATCTTTGGATCAATTGTGTTCTGAGCCATAATGCTTCAAAATCAGAGAATATTCAAATAGTTTATATGGTTCCCTGTCTACACTTTGAACTTGTTTTCTTTGTATGGAAAGATGTACTAATTTAGTGTCCTAAGCACATAATGACTTTAAGAGCTATGTAACACATTTTCCTTTCATACAGAGAATCAACAATTAACTGTTCACCCAACCCAAACATTCTAGAAGCAATTTGAGAATGTCCTAATGCCACATGATGCTACTGTGACCTACATGGTTGGAATTGAGATAGAGAGCCAGGTCTTAGGTTGATATCAAAGGATGGGTGGCAATTGGATAAGGAAAGAGATATAGGATGTTACTGGAGAATATAGCTGAGCAAGAATAGGAATAAATACAAAACACAAACAGCCTTAGATACAATCAAAGGTTTCACATTAATATGTTGTTATTATCTATATGTATTTATTATCTATCCCCTATATTCCCTGGCAGAGAAACTTGACTCATGTTTTTTATGTTTAGACTTAATTTAGTGATTCGGTCATCTGCTTGAATTTTAGGTTCCTGATTATGTCACTGTAATAAAGCAACCAATGGACCTTTCATCTGTAATCAGTAAAATTGATCTACACAAGTATCTGACTGTGAAAGACTATTTGAGAGATATTGATCTAATCTGTAGTAATGCTTTAGAGTACAATCCAGATAGAGATCCTGGAGGTGAGCATTAATGAATTATTTTTCAGGGGGTGGAGTGGGGGCTGCTAACACTTAGGGTTTATTTTTATGTTGGGTGCTATATAATAAACATTTACATTCACAATGCCATTTAATCCTCACAACAACCTTCTCTGCCCCCTCTTCTAGCCTCCACTTTACAGATAAGGAAAGTGAAGTATAGTGAGGTTAAAAACCTTGCTCAGGGCCCAGCCGCCAAAAAAAAAAAAAAAAAACAAAAAAACTAAACAAAACTTGGGTCATGCTGCCAGGAAGAGGCAGAGGCAGAATTTGAATGCAGGGTTCTTTGAGTCCAAAATCCCTGTTTATTAACAAGTATATGATATACTTCTAATGAGACACAAAATATCTTGTTTACTTTGTGTGTCAGTGCTCTTTCTCAAAGTGGAAAAATAGACACTAATAAAATAAGTTTAAAAATATTTTCTTAGTTAAGACATTACAGTTTTTTTTTTTTTGTCTTTTTCCGTGTCTGGCAACGGATCGCAACCCTCAGTGTTGCCCCCGTACC